ATGTGTGTGTGTGTGTATATATATATATATATATATAATTATTTTTTTATTAAAAAGAAAGACATTTATTTGCTCAGCACATTGAATTATATGAGGCCATGTACAAACTGGACATTACTTACACTCCATTCAGCATTTCCAATTTCTATTGACTTTCTATTAATTTCCAAAGCTTTAAATATGAAAATATTCATCACTGATGAATTCACTGTTGGTGTTTATTAACTGACTGTATAATAGATTGGCTTTACCTGCTCATAATTACTCTAAATTGACCCCATGTAGCTCATTAGACTCAGAACCGACCTCATCAAACGATGCCACACTTGAGCTCAAACTGGCAACAAACTGCTCAGACTCTTTATTAATTGTTTTAAACATGTCTTCCTCGTGTTATCGGCGACTCGCGTCAGTTCAGTCCTGGAAAGTCTCGGCCTGTGATGGTTTCTTTAAAGCCAGTTATCCAGTTTAATACTCCTGAGACTGACTGACACGGAGATCAACCCTCGTATTAATGAGACTACAGAATCTTCTAGATTTTCCCAGCCTTAATGAAATCTAAAGCTAAGTTTAAGAAGCCTTGGATGACCAATTAGGATCTCTAGAATGAAGAAAGGGATACGATTTTCCCTTGATTTATTAACACCTTCCCTTCGTTAATTAATAATTTTTAATATAATCTTCAAAGACACCACTGACTGTATTTATTTTGCCTCATTGTGATGTTTATATGATAATGTGTGATTTATGTATATGATTTTATTACAGATATAGCTGGCAGCATCAGGGACATGAACCAAATAAAACCACACTGATGTACTTTAAGGTAAGAGTCACTGTATAAAGTGGGTAGATTTTAACTGTTTTCTCAGGACCAAAACATTATGCATATATACAGTGGGTACGGAAAGTATTCAGACCCCCTTCAATTTTTCACTCTGTTATATTGCAGCCATTTGCTAAATTTACATTTTAATTTTTGTTTTACTTATAGTAATTTTGTTGTGTGTTTTTGTTGTCATTTTATAGTTTTTATTAATTTTTAAGTTTTAGTTATTTTAGTACATCAAGTTAAACTAAACTAAACTAAACTAAACTGAGATTTATGAAATAAAAAGTATATATATATTTTAGTTCATGTTTATTTTATTTCATATAACAAAGATTTTTTTAAAGGTTTTAGTTTTAGGTGATATAATAACCCTGCAGTGAATAGTTTGATATTTTTGTCACCTTTTACATTTTTCTGTTGCATGATTTGCCTTGACTTTTTACTGTTTAAATTATGCTGAAATTATTAGAATGTTTAAATGGCAGGTTCTATTGTGACAACCTGAGCCACCATTGTGCACTTTTTTTTTGTAAACAAGATGTTAAGGTGTGTATCTGTACAGAAATTGATGTTTAAAATGAAACCCACTTTTCATTTCACTTAAGTGCATTGCAAATACATATAGTTTGTGATTGCACAGGTTTTGTTGCATGTGTTCAGGATGGTCAGGGCTAACGCACATTGACAGCAGCCATGTTTACTGCCCTCTTAATGGACCCGGAGCCTGCTGTCAGTTTGACCTCAGCTTAAAACACAGCAGGCAAAAGACAAGAGCGATTTATTTCCATTCCAGTGTTCGAGTCTAAACACAAAACAGTCTGACTTCAAGTGATTGCATCCGTGAGTGTCACTACAAATGGACAGATGTGATTCGAGGGCCAAATCATTTTCTAGACGAGCCAATTACAGACTTTGCACTGATAAACTCTGGGATTTTCTAACAAACCCCAAGGAGTCTCTTGGAGTGGGATTTTTCTGATAAAAGAGGCTTTTAGGCCATCTGGGCATCAGTGAAAGGCTTTTAATGCCAAACCAGAGCAAGAAGTCAGAGCAGTTTTTCTAATAACTAATTGAGTTATTCATTATTGTTTTGTATTGTGTATATTTCTGAGCATTTTGGGTTGCTCTGATGTTATAGAGTAATATATGTTACTCTTTAGGTGAATCTGAGAAAATTACTCTAAAAAAGGGGTGTAGAAACCATTTTCACTCAGATATTGCTAGTAAATTACACAATTAATTAAAGAAATGGCAAGTAACACATTGAATTAAACGTGACAGTTTTAAGTTGAAAGACTGAAGTAGTATTTTCTTGTAAAAAATTACTTCACAAATGTTTTAATATTAAAAAATTATTTTTACAGTGTAGGCGCAAAAATTATAGCCTATTTGTCAAAACATAAGTGGGATACGTAATTGGATTTGACAGTTTTAAGTTGAAAGACTGAAGTAGTATTTTCTTGTAAAAAAATTACTTCACAAATTTTTTAATATTAAAAAATTCTTTTTACAGTGTAGGCGCAAAAATTATAGCCTATTTGTCAAAACATAAGTGGGATACGTAATTGGATTTTTAAATTGTTCATCTAATCATTGCAATAATGATTCAATAAACTGAATTGCATTTATTATTTCTTTTGCATTACATTAAAAAATTATGTAGAAACAATTTTCACTCAGAAATTGCTAGTAAATGGCACAATTAATTACAAAGAAATGGCAAGTAAAATGTTGAATTTAAACGTGAAATTTATGAAGTAGAAAGACTGGAATTGTATTTTCTTGTATAACATACGTCAATAATCTTTGTTTAACTTTGAAAAGTTCTTGCATGCTTTTTTTCTTAGCCACTTCTTTTGCTTTCTTACAAAACTGTTTTTCCTTCAGGAAATGCAAATCTAGTCAACAAAGGCAATTCTACATTTGTTGTTGTTGTTGTTTTTTGTTTTTACATTTAGTTTAGGTTTTGCATGTTGATTTACTGTAATAGCACTACATTTGTAACTACAGTACATGTATCTCTACAGTATATCGGCTTCTCACAAATCAATGAACTGACCTGTGTTAATGAAAAACTGCCGTGCATACAGGCGTCTGGACGTGACGCACAAGACTGGCCTGTTAAATTTACCCTGTAGATAATCCAATCACACCCACAAACCCTAAATTAAATGTTGGTTTCTTCTGAACCCATGACCGGTTGAAAGCATAATTGTACACTCTAAAAAATGCTGGGTTAAATACAACCCAGTGCTGGGTAAAATAGGTCACGTACAAGATGTCCATTTTCTTTACACCCGAAACATTTCATTGAATTCGTTGTGACATAAATCACATAATTGAAACTTTCATGACTAAAATTTAAAGTCAAATCCAACTCTTCAGTGTTGTCTTTTAAAATCATATAGACATAGCGTCGGAAGGACACCACATGTTTCAGCAGGGAAGATTTACTCCCAATTGCAATCATTTTTATTGTCGAAACTAATTTGCCATAACGCGACAGCATTTCCGCCAAAACCTCATTTGTTATAAATGGAGGCACATTCGATAACGTTACACGTTTCGACGGGGCTGAAAGGGGAAGCACCTGAGTAAAAATTCCATTAATTTCTACACCTGTTTCCACCAGTTGATTCGCCAATTCAATCGTCTTAACAAATATAACAACGGCACTATTCATCCTTGAGGCTGACAAAATATTCTCACAACCAATTAACGTACCTACAGCCAAACTACATTCGTCCACTCCAAACACTGAATCAATTTTGACCGCATGCCGTCTAGTTAAGTGGCTAAAGCTCTCCTTCCCTGGAAACGCCATGAACCCAGCACTTCAACCACTTCACCACTAATTACAAAAACAACAAAAAAATATATATATAAAG